TAGAGACAGGGTCTCGCTCTTGCTCAGGCTGGTCTCGAACTCCTGAGCTCAAATGATCCGCCCGCCTCGGCCTCCCAGAGTGCTAGGATTACAGGTGTGAGCCACTGCACCCGGCCGATATACATTCTTAAAAGCAATTTATAACATGTACTAATAGCTTTTGGCTTGGAAATTCCACTGCTGGGAATCTAAGCAAATAAACAGAAATACAGAAAATACTTTATGCATAAAGATCTTTCTCTTGTAACAGGAAAAAATGGAAAGCAACCTAAATGTTTAAAAACTGGGAAAAGTGGTTAATAGCCCTTAGTTTTTGCCTGCTCAGTATACTTCGGTTAACATAACCACTCTTTTCAAGTCCCCCTTGAAAGTTCTCCCATTCTCTGGGATTCTGAGGGTGCTGAGCTGAACCCCCAACTCCAGGAGAGAACACATGACCCAGGCTCTGCCAGGGAGGGCACCCCATTCCCAGATGCGGTGGTTGTTCCGGAATGTCTAGGGCCCAGCTAGAAAGGATGCATCCTCTTTGCTGTACGATTACTGGCTGCAGTTAAAACCAACACAGCAGAAAGAGGAGCCAGGAAATGAAGACCAACTTCTGAAGGAATATTTTAAGATCAATGAACTACTTCGACTTGAGTTTCTGTCACTAGCAACAGAATCCCAGTGCAGACCGTTATTTTGTGGCCTAGGTATATTGATCTGATGAAATATGCTGCAGCCATTTAAGCCACCCTCGTGAATGGTTTCTAGGAACATAGCTTGTGATAAAGTGATACACAATCAATAAACAGCATGATCTTGATCATGTTTAAACATTTCATGGGAGCAAAGATTGGAAGAATACGCACCATGCCGGCTGGTGAGATTATGAATTTCAAATTTTTTATTTTTCATATTTTTGACACGAATATGTCTTACAATAAATACCAAAGAAAAAGCTTAAAAGATTGACATTTATTTATACCTCCCCCTTAATTCCCCAAAGGACTACCTTCAGCCACGTGACAAGTTTAGTAGGGAAAGCTCTGTTCCTTGTTGGGGAAGCTTGCAGCTTGGGGGAATTAAGTTCATAACTGTCTTCTCTAACGAAGATTTATATTAATAGAACACCTGGTTTTGAAGTGACAGTTTGGAATTCCCCTAAGAAATGTTGACCAACCAACATTACACAAAGTTGAGTTATTTCCTCAGTACTAAAACTGAAAAACATGCTCCATTATAGGAAAGTATAATGATCTCCTCTTCAATTGCCTTGTGATCTTCAGTCTGAATATTACTGAGAAGCGAACGACATTAACAATCTCAAGAGAATATTTGTGCATTTATTTCATTGACCCTAATCTCATTTCATAAAGGATTCTTCTCCACTCCATCACATTCCAGAGGACTTTGAACCAGGACTAGAAGACAGAGTAAATGACCACTGGCCATGCTTGGTAAAGACAGAGGCCTTGACCAGTTGAGCACAGATCGATGGCCAAGACAAAACCTGCAAATGCAGCCATCTGGGCTCTGCAGCCTCAGGCCCTAGGGCCATTCCCTCTTTCTATATTTTTCTTGATCAAGGCCTGCCTTGCTCTCTGGGCCAAGGCCAACCCCCATCCCACCCCAGTCTAAGACACTCTTCTCCTATCTCGTTAAGGCCAGGGCTCTGTAGTCTCTGCAGCAGGGCAGGGTGCAGAGGGACCAGAACCGGAGCCTGATGGGAAGCATATAGTGTGGGGGGAATGATAAATCCATGAAAACTTAGCAGCAGCAGCATGAGACCAGGCCTCTGCTTTTCCTCCTGCCCCTGCTGGGCTGCTTTTACGCCAGTGTCATCAAGGCCACCCACCCTAAGCCAGCCTGTTACGGGCTCAATTAGCGCCACTGTGTAAAAAACCCGCACTTGCACGATATGTGCAAGTCTACAGTGCCCTCTCGTGGCCAATCAGAGTGTAACAGGGACGTAGTCCGCACGTTCAATTATCAAGGAACGTGCAACACCTGCTATGAAAAATTGGCTGACTTTACTCTGGGTAATTACATCTTATCTGAATATAGATGTTTTTCATATGGTGCCAAATGCTGAAGACAAAACTCACAGTAAGTGGGCAAAGGCAGAAAACCAGGTATTAGGCTGTTAAGTATGAAATGTCCCATTTCCTTAAGTACTAAGTTTGGCAGTTGATATCTCTGACATTTTACTTTGACACTTCTTGAGGTTTTTTTCCTATTGTGAAAATACATCTTCATTCTTTCAAATGCGTATTTTGGCTTGTGATTATCTTTCAAATTTTTTTTTAGAACTTTTGTGAAGCCATGGATAAGTCCAAAATTCATGTTATTTTTGAATATGAGTTCCATCATGGAACCAATGCAGGGCCGACAGCTCGAAATATCAACGAAGTGTTTGGGAAGGCTGTGGCTAATGAATACACACTACGTTGATGGTTTGAGAAGTTCCATTGTGGTGATTTTAATTTTGAAAATGAGCCATGTGGATGACCTGAGACCAAGGTGGATAATGACAAGCTGAAAGCTATAGCGGAAGCGAATCCATCTCAATCTATGCATGAATTAGCAGCAAGGTTTGACGTTACTATTTCAACAATATCAGACCATTTGAAACAAACTGGCAAGGTAAAGAAGCCGAATAGATGGGTACCGCATGAATTAAATGAACATCAGAAGAGAAATCATCTTGAAACTTGCCTTTCTTTTCTGTCACGGCATAAAGGCCAACCATTTCTGTACCGTATTGTTATGAGTGATGAAAAAGACATTCTTTTTGACAATAGCTAGCATTCGGCACAATGGCTGGATAAAGATGAAGTGCCAAAACATAGTCCAAAACCAAATATTCGTCAAAAAATGCTAATGGTGTCTATTTGGTGGTCAAGCACTGGTATTACCCACTATAACTTCATGAAACCTGGTCAATCAATTACAGATGTCCACTGCAACCATTTAGACAAAATGATGAGGATGCTTGAGATTAAGCAGCTGAGATTGGTCAACAGAGACAGGCTAATCCTCTTGCAAGACCACATGTCATACAAACAACGCTGCTCAAACTACAGAGGCTGGACATGGAAACTCTAGCATCCACCATATTCACCAGACCTTGCACCAACTGACTGCCACTTCTTCCAGGCTTTGGACCACTTCTTGCAAGGAAAAATATTCAATTCTCAACAAGCTGTGGAAAACGCCTTTTGTAAATTCAATGAAACTAACCCCCAAGCCTCCTTGCCGCCGGCAAAAAAAAACCAACCGTAAAAAGGCAAAAACGGGGCCAAAAGTTAGGAACCGAACTTGAATAAATGGAACAAGTCCTGGTTGAACCAAAAAAAAACTTTGAATCAAAAACAAAAAATTCAAAATTAAAGAACCCAAAAGTAGCCCCCAACAAAATAATTCCACCACGAACAACACCACCACAAGAACCCAGGAAGAACAACCGACAACAACGGCAGGATACTAATAACAACCACCCAAAAAATAGGACAAAACAAGCAGCTTGCCGACGAGAAAAAAGAATAGTAGTAACCACACCAATTGGAAGAACAACCAACCAATGAAAGAACAGCATAAAAAAAAAAAAACAAAAGGTCCCCAAAAGGGAAAAAAAAAAGCATAGCAAATATTAACATCTGTGTTTATGAAAATAAATCCAACACATTTCATTAAAATAATGCTTTTAATTATTGATGTTTTGCATAAGAAATCTATTTGACTAAGTTTAGTATACATCATGTTTCTTAAACAGAAGCTGTCTGCTTGATTTCGGTTCATTTTGTATTTTCAAACATCAGGACTCACGTTTAACTTTTCTCTTTACCTTTAAGAATTCAGTGGCTTGACTCCTGACATACTTCTTTAAAAGGAATTTTATGTCATCTTCTAAAATCATGTGTATGGGTAATAAAATTAAATAGCGTCTTCTCTTCTGAAGAAATGTGATTTTTTAAATGCCATGTTCTCTTCGCTCTGCTGACCTGGTTTAGGTCACAGCAGCGGTTGGAGCTATTTAGAGATTCAAAGCAGCTATGGAAGCCTTAGGTCGCTGCTGGGAGTAGCAGTATTTAAAAAGCTATCAAGAGTGCTTTGGGAGACAGATTTTGTCCCCAGCTGAAGCTGGTCCATGCCTGAGTTAAAGCTGATTATAAAAGAATAACAGAAACACATAAAATTCCCTTCTTTCTCTTTCTTTTGCAATCTCCCCCAAAATAATATGTGTGTGTTTTGATTATACAGTCTCCATTTATGTAGGGAAATCAAATTTAGGAAAAGTCTTATGAACTTCTTTTGTTCTAGGTAAGTATCATTTTAGAATGTAAAAAGTTTTTTAAAAAGTTCTCTATAAGAAATAGTTTTGTCCTGTGCTGGGTCAGTACTACCCAGCACTGTCAGACATAAACTGACGTGAGTAGGAAGCTGCACTGTGTTTCGTATTGCTTGTCTGTTTTGGCAAGATTTATCCAACCACGCCGTCGCAGGACCCAGCCCCTCCGCGCCGGGCTCAGGCGCTCCGGCGCGGCCGTGGTGAGTGCGGCACACTCCCGGCACCGGGGCTTCCAGGAATAAAGAACACAGGCTCCAGCACCTTCCAACGCCAAGGGGCAATCTAAATCTGGTGCTTGCTCCTCTTTAGGGAGCACCGTTGGAAGCATATTTGGAATTGATGGAACAAAACTTCTTTAATTGCAGTGAAAGACATTTCTCTACGTAAATGGCTTCAAAATATGAAAAAAAAAATCTAGCAACCACATCTCTCAAGAAATCCAGTCCAACTCGATTTGGTAAACAAGCAAACAAGGAAACCAGCATGTGACAGAAAACTGCCTAATATTCTGGGAACATTCCAGAGAAACAGTAAGCCCTGTAAGTGTGCATGAGCCTCCTAAGGAACTTCACACGTGTGGTTAAATTTGCCATATTCTGCTTCACCTAGAAAGAGGAAGAGAGAGGAAGAATTATTTCATTAAACTGGGCTGACAAATCTTAAAAGTTAATTCATTCTAGGGCAGGACTAGAGAAACTTCTGATCTAAAAGTTTAAGATTTTGAGTTAATTTCAGCCACTTTAGTGTACTAACAATTGCCTGAGTCCGTTAAAATGCAGATTCCTGGGTTCTGGTTCAGTGGGTTTAGAGTAGGGCCTACGAATCCTCATTTTAGCAAGCACCCCTCCTCTCCAAGTGTGATGCTGACACACTTTAGTAAATGCTGCTGGGATGTGGGTGCTTGTTCTTATCTCATTTAAAAAATCTGAAGGTTTAATAGACAAAAAACGTTGAGAACAGAAGGGGTCCTCGACATCAGGGCAAAAGAGCAGCGCTGAGCCAGTGCCTGATGAAACCAAGTCCAGCTGGGAGGTGAACTTGTCCACCTTCTGGTGCAGCCTTAGCCACCGCCAATCTGGAAATTCGTCTCTAGGTAACAAGACTGGGCAAGGTTATAATCAATGACCTTTCCTGACCTCTGTCTTTGCTAGGAAATGTCTGGATGCACCAGCGGTGATAAAACGAGGCCTAGTGCAACCAGGTTGCTGCTCGGACAGTAGTGATAGGAGGTGATGCTCATACTTAGGAGAGCTGCTTACTCAAGGATGTCAGCAAATACTCTGCGTACACATTTAAACCTTCCGCTCAGTTTGCAAATATGCTCATGGGGTCTTGACCCAACAGTCAAATGAGGCCAATCATGTTCAGTTAGGCTCCATATTAGCTCTAGCCAGTGGTAGACTTCATCTGAGTGAAACAGATTTCAGAGGCAGAGGGCTTTACTGGAGAAATAATATTTCCCAAAAGTGATCCGGGCAAGCCAAGGAAGGTGGCTACAAATTTAGGGAAGCTTCAGAATGCCTGTGAGGTCCCTGTGAGTGGTTCCCCAAGAATATGCAGGTCCTGTCCTGAAAGATATTACTGTACACTCCCCGGACTACTAACCAGTTCTGGTGGCAAACCAGGTGGGTGGGAAGGGGGGTCCCATTCCCAGACTCTGAAATGGACAATAGTCAGCGGCACCTGGTCATACAGGGCAGCTTTCGGGCACTGCCCATTCCCCGGAGTCTGGTGCCCTGCCTCAGAAGAGCTCACACCCTGCTCTGGTCTTTGGTCCACCCCTCAGGGTGGAAAAGTGTTCTGTCTTACCTCTGCGCTGCAGAAAAGTGCTCACTCTCTGCATAATAAGGTGGGAACCTCAGAAGTATTTTACTCACTTATTCAGCATGGAGACTTATGGGAAAACAGTTTTATTTTGTGACTAAAGCATGCACTGCCCTTGGGCATGTTATTTATACAAAAATAAATGCACTTCAGAGATTATGTCCTATGAAAGTAAACTTGAACTTCAAAGAGCAGGCCTGGCATTCTTGCTGTCATCCTCCTTGATAATTCGTTGCCTGGGAATAATGTTGTAATCGCTACCTCTAAATTCCTGTAAAGTACGATGTGTTCACCAGCCCAGAAGAGGATCAACGGCCCATGTCTCTTCTCCCGCATGCATGGCAGCAAAATAATTGCCAGGACTGTTGGATTCTTTATTCCAACAAAGAGTGTGAGAGTCTTTGCCTCAAATAATCATCCAGTCATCCCCAAACACCTGCTTCCTGCTCTGTGCAATGCACTGTCTGGGATTTTAAAAAATTAAAAACAAAAAAACCTCCAAAATACCCCAAAAGCTCAACATGGAACTGTTCTACAATAGAATTACACATAAATTAAATAAATGCTAAGGATTTAAGCCCCCAAATGGGCTACAACCTACAAGTCTAGCTTAGTATCATCACCCTAATCTCCCCAAACAGCAGTCAGTCATTACAAGCAGAAAGTGCGTTACAAATCACACTGGATTAGGAGCCCTGCCAGCTACCAGTGCGGTAGCCAGAGGGGCAGGACAGCACCACAGCTGGAAGATGCCGGGTTTTGAATCCCAGCACCATCGCTTCCTGGCTGAGACTTTAGGCAAGTTTCTTATTTCTCTGCACATGAGCATTCCATTTCACAGATGAGGAAGAACAGTGCCTCTCTCACAGGGATGCAGTGAGGATTCCACGAGTTAATACACTTAAAGCAACCACTATAGCACCCAGCCAGTAATAAAGGCTCAAAAACACTAGCTGCTATTGTTATTATTATTGTTATCACCTCCTAAGCTATGCCAAAAATTCCCTATCACCTGGGAAGAGAACCAACCCCTTGTATTCCTTCATTTGAACCTTGACCTTATTTCAAAGAATCTGATCACGCCTTCTTCCCTGCCCCTGTCCAGCTTCAGACTCTGCTTCTCCTTCATTCTCTCCCACAGCCTCTTCCGTCTCAGCCTCCTCCCCTGCAAGCACACACTTCCTGGTGGCAGAAACCACACATCCCCCCAGGCACTCTCGGTACTGGGAGATGATGGGACAGGGTCCCTGGCTCAGACTAGGCTGTGGGACATTCACGGTCCAGAAACACCCAGGTCTGATTCTCATGAGAAAATGCCTTCCTGGGTCATAAGTGGACTCTGTCCAGGGCCCAACAAATATAGCCCGAAACGGAGTCTCAACCTGTAGGTAGAGTCAAGGGGTCTGCGATCTTGGCTGGAAATTTTTTTTCCATTTTCATTACGCTCTAACTGAAATTTATCATTTTCTTCTTCTTTTTTTTTTTTAGACAGAGTCTTGCTCTGTCACCTGGGCTACGGTGCCGTGGCATCAGCCTAGCTCACAGCAACCTCAAACTCCTGGGCTCAAGCGATCCTCCTGCCTCAGTAGCTGGGACTACAGGCACAAACCACCACACCCAGCTAATATTTTCTATTTTTAGTAGAGACAGGTCTCCCTCTTGCTCAAGCTGGTCTTGAACTCCTGACCTCAAGCAATCCTCCTGCCTCAGCCTCCCAGAGTGCTAGGATTACAGGCGTGAGCCACCGTGCCCGGCCTATCATTCCCTTCAATGATGAATGTAGGCAATAAACCACCGTGGTTAGTGTATCTGTCTTCAACAGAAACACAGAAATCACATATACTTTCATATCATGTTACAGTTGTTGCAAATGTCTTAAAATACTGTCTTCAGTCCTCACTACTTTGAAAGTACAGTATGCTACTTAGTAAAACATGTTACTATACCACACATTAAAAAATATTTTTATAATGTATTTTGATACAGTTGGTTTCCTTTGTAATCCTAAGTATTTTATGAACTTAAAAATATGATTCTGAGAAGCAGTTATTTGCTTTACCAGCCTTCCAAAGGGGTCCATGGCACATGAAATGTTAAACCCCCCCTTGCCTTAGAAGGCTGAGGGCCACTGTAAGGGCTGCAATATTAGAAAGGTAAAAGGTGTGCAACTACTTACTGAAATGTGACATTATAATATTCTTCGGGCGTCACTATTTTTGGTCCACCAAAGTAGTCCAGGACCCAGATATTGGTTATATTCAACTTGGCAAAGAACCAGTTATGGCTGGAAGGCCAGGTTTCCATTTCAGGGTGTCGAATGAATAACGAATGCTTTGCAAAGTCCGTTTCTGTTTCATTCACCTAAAAGACATGTGTGAAATGAACATTCGCATAGACGTTAACATTTTGTTCTCTCATGTCTTAAGAACATGTGATCCTAATAGTCTATAAATCCTAAGAGTTTACTTATTTGTAAATCCTGATCTTAAACTTAAGGAATCAAGAAAAAATAAAGGAAATCTGAAGAATGCAGAGAACAATAAAGCGTTCCAATGTTGGTAATAGCAGATAGAATATAGTGGGAAACCATCAGGAGTACAAATTTTCATTGCTCAACAGTAATTTTGAGCTACCAGAGTAACTCACACAAGGTACTAAACATCTTACTGTTAAGACATGTAACATTAGCATATTTATCCCATAGTATGCACACGTTAAACACATAGATGAGTGTGCATGAAGGATAAAAGCCTTTAGAAGAGGCACAACAGAACTCAAAAGCCTTTGCCATTCCTCCCCCTTGCTCCTGCCAGTGAAGGAGACTCATCTACAGAGATGCATCCACACAGAATTTCCAGGCCATAAATAAAGTTTGTCTGAGGCACCCGTGATTGACAAGGTCAAAAAGCAAATCTGCTGGCTTGGCAATCAGATCAGTGCTCACGGCACCTGCTCACTGCCTTTCCTGCAATTTCATTTAACCTCTTCCCTCAGCACTCACCCTAAACTAAATTCGCTTCCAGTTTCTAGTAACGGATATCCCTCTTATTGGCCTACTTAACACGCTCTCTCTGCTCTATGCCACTGTTAAAATACGGAGACAGGAAACCCAGACATGGGAAATACTGTACAATGTAAAACACGATGGAGAGCAGTGAGCTTTCATTGAGCAGATGTTCCTTAGCAAGAATAATTTTGTATAGGAGCTTTATAGTTGTTACATCTGTTTGGCTTCAGAAAATCATTCCTTTGTCTCATAAATATCATATTGAGCATTTATATTAAAGCAACTGACTAAAACCTTTAATTTTCATAGAATTACTTCACAGAACATCGTCTGTGTTATCTCAATCATAAATCCTCAGTCTCAAAAGATCTCTTCTTTCATTGTCAATAAGATGATGCTCTCCTAAAACCATCTATCTTTGTGTAGGATATCTATTTACCTTGGTCACAGTTCCTGACAGTATTATGTGAACACAAAGGGGACTTTGAGGATCATATCCTTGTTTCCTGCAGAAGTCAGTCTGTGCCAAAGACATGGTCAGTGTGGCATGTGGATTCTCCTGTAGAAAGAAAATGAAGACCCTTTCATGTGAAATACGGTTTCTGGAGAGGTAATAAATTTCTCAAGTTGCATATATAATGCACCTAGAGCTCAACCGGTCTTCCATGAAACAATGAATTGTAAAACACCATCTTCCACTCAGGAGAAAAATACTACTTGTGTAGAGACTGATCCTGACTCCCTCACACCCAAAAGAGGGGGGAGTCATATTTAAAATTAACTGACTCAGTAAGAATTATTTCAGCATATTTTTCCTTAAACTCTGAATTTGTTCCATATTCATTAGAGGAATTATATTAATAATTACACTACCCAAATTCAAGCTCGTCTATAGCCTTCACTGAAAGATCTAAAGAGTTAAACTTTAATATGAAACCATTGCATAAAAGTGCCACAGTTGCTCAACTAGTTAAGCAAGAAAGTAGCTGAATCATGCTGCTTGGTTATCTTATGCTAGCAGAAATTGTCGCGTGATTTCAAAACTTGTAGAAGTTGTTCATTCCTGCTTTAGCAACAAGAGAAGTCTTATCCCAGTTTCAAAGTGAAGTAAGCAAAATTCTTAATTCTTATTCAGAAATCAGCTTCATAAAATGCACTGTTGACAGATGACAGCAGAATTTGCACATTGCATTTCAGACTCTTTAAGCTCTAAATGTCTTGTGGAGAATTTTGCCATTTCACAGTGATCCATCAAAACAGTGAGTAATAAAGAGATTTCCCTGAAATCATTTAGCCAAATATTTGCTGGCTAGAAACTATTAGACAGCAATGCTCTACAGGAGACCAAAAAAAGAAAGGGAGTATGCTCAGATAAGGTCTCTTCCCCTCTGTGAGTTTATAATCTGGTTGAAAAGCCAAACATAAACAAAACTTAAATAATGCAAAAGATAGAGAAGTAGTCAGAAGGCAGTACATAGCTAATTGCAAATGAATGGTAAAGAGAATTCGAAGTTCAGCATAAGGAGACATCGGCATAGCCTGGTGTGATGGAGAACCTATAGGGGGACCTTATAATACATTCAAAGTGAGGCTGGAAGTGGGAGGCATATTAGGGCAGAAGGAATGATGACTGCAAAAACCACAGAACTGGGAGCGCCTGAGACACGATGGAGAGTATGGAGAAACCCAATTTGCTAGAAAGAGAGACTTTCAGAGCAAGTGGGTTTGGGGTGGCTCAAATCCAAGCTAAGGAGTCCAGATTGTATTTTGTAAGCCAGCATCTGGCAGTGCTTTCCAAAAACCATCTGCCTGGAGAGTTTGTTAAAATGCTGTTTCCTGGCCTTCACTCCAGACCCAGGCATCTGCATTTTAAACAAACACCCCAGATGATTCTTAGGCCGCTATGGGCAGAGGAAGTTGTTAAAGGCCAAAGGACAATGCTGAGGTATTTTGTTACCATAAATCTGGTGGTCAGGGTGGACAGGGCAGATAGGAAGACTACTAAAGAGTTACTTTAAGGCAAGAGGTGATAAGCTTAAGGATGGGGTGGTAGGAATAAAAAGGAAAGGACAGGAACACAAGCAAAGAAAACAACAGAAAATTGTCAGGACTTGGGAAACGACATATTTGGGGAGGGAGTGAGAATTCCAACTATGTTTCCTGAGAAAACAATCATTCCATTAACAGAAATGCAGAAGAGCAAGAGCAGCTGGTTTCAGGAGGAAGATAAAGGACTGGATTTAAACATGCTGAATTTGAGGTGGTGGTAAACTAATGAGGCAAAAGTGAACAGCAAGCAGTTAACAATACAGAACTTTGAAGAGGTCTTTAGAAAAGGACGTAAATTTGGAAGTGAATCTTAACAGCTGGGAATGAAGTGAATGAGAGTATATATGATCTTCTAAGGATCATACTGAGAACAAAAAGGTAAGAAACCAAATCTGGAGGACACTCATTTTAGTGGGTCAGAGAAAAAAATCAAGAGTGATTAGAGAAAAGAGGGTCACATCACAAGAGAAGAGTGCCAAGAAGGAAGGGAGGCCAAGAATCAAACCCCAAGATTTCATTTCTGATTCACTGGCTCTGCAGCCCAACCTGGTACATTACCAGCTAACATCAGGGACATCTTCCTAGAAACATTTACTATACAAAAATGCCACCAAGAAAAAACCATACAAAAGAAACGTCCCAGTGGCCAAGTACATTTGAAGCTTACAACCTGTCTCTGAGTTAGAGAGGACAGGCATTTTACACATGAGGAATGATAACACCAGCAGCTCCCTAGACACCTCACAAATTTAAATATGATCGTGTATAGCTCAATCTCCCTCCTCCCCTATTAGAATCATCAGGGAGAGGTTTTTTGGGGGGGGAGTGGGTGTTGTTTCAGGAAAAAAATGTGTTTTTAATAAAATGCCTTGGCACTGCATTTTAAACAGTCTTCCTAGGTGAGTGATTTGCAGCCAAAGTTGAGCATCACTGATGGAGCGCAATGAGTTTGCTCTGAGCACATGTCTAAAGGAATGGAGTGGGCTGGGAATAAGAAAATGGTGAACTGGGGTGTATGTGCTTTGGCTAAAAGGGGGCAGCTGCTTCAGTTTTTGCACAGAAAATGTAGGTCCTCAGTGTTGCTAGATCTTCCAATATTTCAAGAGAAGGTAGAAATTTTGATTTTTAAGTAAAATCTCAATTTAAAAGTGTTGGTAACTCATTCGGATTTATTAAAGACAGAACTCTGTGTGGGCCAAAGAAAACTGGTCTATGGGACATATTCAGCTCACAGGCCACCAGTCTGACCTGTGGTTTGAAGGCAGATGGACCTGAGATGAAACTAGGGTTAGTTTTGCCCAACTAGCTTTGGGCAAGTTACTTAACCTGTCTAAGCCTCAAGTTTTTCATCTGCAGAATGGGGATAATAATATCTATTTCAAAGAATTATTAGACGAGACAATGAATGAAAAGTGAAGGTTGGCCCAGTACACGGAAAGTGTTTAATCAAACATCAGTTTCTTATATCCTATCTTTACCAACAATGTTGTACTTTCCCAGGTGACCTCAAATCTGAGATCTTTGTCAAAAAGACCCTCCACCAAACCAGGCTTCGTTCCTGGACTGTATGGCTCTAGCCTCCTAAGCTGTGTGTCTGTGACCCCATCCTTGGGACAGCAGAGGTCCACCAGAGTTGTAAGCTTGGCCCTGACCCAAAAGATGAGCAAAGGATGAGTTCTGCTCCATATTGAGGAAACCTAAAGATTGTGGAGGCCTAAAGATTGCAGTAATCACTGTAATCGTCCACGATGTTGTTTACTAGCTGCTTGCTGCTGAAGGGGAAATTCTTAACTCAGAAAGAGGGTAAGAAAGAGAAATTCCAAAGTCAGGTACGCGAAGTGCTTAATGACCCAACCATCTCTCTACCCTGCAAAACCTTTAACAATAAGAACTCAGTTAATGGAGACCAACTCAGGACGACTCAGGGATGAGAAGTCCTACCGGCACTGGCAAAGAATTCACCCCAAGTGCGCCGCCCAGTGGCGAGGCGTATGCGAAATTGCTGGTACTCAGTTGCTCAACATTTGGGATGCTGCAATGCCCGCCGTGCCAGCGAGGGAGAGAAGAGGCAGTCGTTTGAGCCGGGTTCAAACTCTTATCTCTAGGAGCCACGCTGTACTTCCCGTACAGAATTTTGGTGAGAGGCGAAAGGTTCACTCTCCGGCCGCCCCGACCGTGGCCGGGCCCCACGGCCGCGAGCTCCGCGGTGCCCACACGGCCACCGAGGCCGGGAAGCTGCGCGGCCTTCCCGCTCACCTGCAGGTTGTTCGCGGTCAGCTGCAGCGGGCTCAGGTAGAAGTAGGGCTCGCCGCTGCCCGCGCCGGGCGGGCCGTCGCTGAGGGACAGGACGTCGGCGAAGGGCCGGCCGCGCACCGCCTCCAGCGAGGAGACCGTGGCCAGCGCGCCCCAGTCGCAGAGGTTCGTCACGAAGCGCGCCACGCGCGCCGCGTCCTCGCGGGGCGGCAGCGGCGGCAGCTTGACCCCGTCCCAGTCCCCGTGACCCCGGCCGCCGCGACCCCGCGCGGGCGACACGAGCAGTGACAACAGCGCCGGCGCCAGCAGCGCAGCGAGCAAGGCGCGCAGGGACCCGCGGGCACGGCCGGCCATGGCGGAGTCTCAGCTGGAGCCCGGGCTCAACGACCTGCAGGGCGCGGGGTTAGCCGTGCGCGCCCGGGTCCCGCCCCCGCCGACAGGGCCAATCAGAGCTAAGCAGGATGGAGGGGGCGGGCCCCTCTGCTGCTCCACAACCTGTGGGAGACGCGATTTGTTTGCCCGCCTCCTAGTCACTCCGCCCCGCCCTCTTTAAGGATTGTTGATATGTCCTAAATGGGATGTTTATTTTGTTTTGTTTGACGGGTGGAGGGTGGAAAACGCAGGCCTGGAGAAATTTAAGCAACTTGCCTAAGTCATACTGCTAGAAAAAGACCAACTTCGTTACACACACACACATCCCTTATTTTAATACCTTTGGATATGGATATCTAGCATCTGAGAGGAAATGCTGCGTTTTCAACCTATGCGCCTGTTTTCTGTTGAATTTACTCAGCACCACAGAGCAGCAAGGTTCCCAATAGTGATGTCAGGCAGAAGCCCCAAAGCTCAAGACCTTATAAACCGACTACCCCAGGAGTCTCTCAGACACGAAGGGACTGTTAGTCTGCTAGCAGTACACCATGCACGAATTCGAGCTTGAAGGTTCAGGCCCTGTTGAGTCATCAGGCCTGAGGTCAGTGGTTTCATGAATTTATTGCCTTCGCTGACCTTCCCTGCCTCATGGAATGGGCATTTCTTTCGCTTCTTCTAAGATCTCTTTCACTCTTTCAGGAGCGCTCCCTCATTCTGCTATCCTGGGTAGCTATCCTTAGTAGCACCTGCCTGACTATGTTCTTTGTAATTTTAAGCTTTGGCCACGTCTTTTCCGAGCGAGATCTTTTTGGCTTGGCCTCACATTCTCCCTTTAATTGTTGTTATAAAGATTACACAGTGGTGCCTGTACAGGAGGTTGTCAGCTTGTAAATCTGGTTCTGGCGGACACCCGGTGCTCTGAGCTGCCTTGCTTAACAGAGGTGAGGTAATTTCCCTCAGCTGCTATGGGCCAGTCATGTGAGCAGGTGTGGGCAGCAGCTGTGTGAGCCGAAGTCCGCCTCTACCGCCTGTCTCAAACCCGGCTTCCTCGTATCCTGCCAACTTGTCAGGCTCAGTCCAAACGTCCGGTAGGTAATAGAAACAAGACCATCTTCTCTGAATAGGAGTCTTCAGTTCCCTCTGGTGGCCAAACGATGTCACGCACACTGGCTTCCACATTCAGGTTAAGAAGCACGTGAACAGCTCTGAATCAAAGTTAGTTTGCTTTTTAACAACTGAATTTGGAAGAGCTTCAAGCTAGATGGAAAAATAAATAGGAGAAATTTAAAAGGAGGAAAATAAAGATTCATCGCTTTCAAAACAAATACTTCATACAAATACTTTGGGTCCCTGCCAGTTGCAAATATTAAATATTTCATCCTTAACCTGTTAAGGAAAGGACACATGTAATTTCAAATCGGAGTTCTAATCTCAGGTCTGCCACTATCACGTCACGTGACCAAGGGACTTTTATCTCACCTTTGGGCCTCAATTTTCTTATCCAAAATGAGGAGTTAGCTTAGATGCTATCTGATGCCTCCTCTAGCTCTCTATCCTATTTCTGTATTAACATGCAAAATATAAGCCTTTTGTAAGTTTCAGAATATACATTTTCTTGCAAGAGAATGAAAGAAGTATTTTTTATTCATTGCCACACCTTTTATTGTTGGCATGCAAAATAACAATAGGCTCCTTTACAGCTCCATTACAAAACAGACGCCTAGAACTTGGTCTCACACGTCGAAGCACGGGAATGAGGTCTACAAGCCCTCTAGCTTTAAGCACCCACCTCAGCATCCGTCTTTGCGCTTGCTGCCCCTGTGCCCAATATCCCTTCTCTCGGCTGCTGGCATGGCTGCCTCACTCGCATCGGGATCTCACCCATCTCCCGCTCTTCAGAGGTGCCTCCTAGACCACCCTTCCTAAGAGGCCTTCCCCAGTTACTCTTCATCAGACAACCCCATTTATTTATTTCACAGCAATAATTATACTCTGTAATAACAGCGTTTATTTATTTAGCTACTTGTTAATTGTCTCTCCTGCTAAAAGGGAAGTTCCAGGAGAGCAGGAATGTTGTCCATCTTGCCCACCTCCGTATCCCCAGTGCACAGAGTGGGCACTTAATAAACATTTATTGAATGACTTCCTGACTTAATGAATAATATCTGGTGAAATGCTTTGCACATAGAGCTGTATGAAGTCAACACCAGGAAGTGAAGATAACTGAATCGAGATACTCAAGCATAAGAACTGGGCACGTCAGCTTTTTCTTATCAAACCATCCTCATAGGGATACTAGGGAAGCCCTTAGCCAGGAGTGGCTGAAGTAATCATTCCAGATTCTGCTGCTTCTCATCCTGACTCGTGTTTCTATTTGAACAGCCTGCATTGATCTCCATCCCTCACAGGGCCATCGTGAAATAATTCTCTTTTCCTTATGTGTGAATTCAGTCCTGGTGAAGAGCTCACCCTGCAGGCTCCCGCTTTCACATGGTATTGCCCTTGTTTATTTGTCTAGGCTGCCACCAGCTGTAGTTCCTTCTTGGTCAGGAGTAGTGGCTTTGTCATTTCTGCATCCCAGCATTGAGCACAGTGCCAGGCATCTAGCAGGCATTCATTATGTGTTGTTGACAAAATGAATTGCATCAGAACGGTTATACCAAGTGCAGAGGGTTCCCACGCTGTCTGCAATTGCTCAGGATTTAGTCTTTAAAGAACAGAAACCTTCTGCTTTGCATGGTATACGTGCTTCAAATAGTAGATGGCTAGTGAAGTGGGGAAGAGAGCTAGCTT